ATTAATGAAGCTCTCCGAATGTATCCGATTCTTGTAATATTGGATAGAGTATGCGTAAAAGATTTCGAGCTGCCACCAGCATTGCCAGGATTGAAACCATTTTCTTTAAAGAAAGGACAAAGCATATGGGTACCAATTTATGCACTTCAGCGTGATCCCAATTACTTTAAGGAGCCGGAGAAATTTGATCCCGAGCGATTTCGTGGTGAACGGAAAAAGAACACTCTCAATTCCAGAGCTTACTTGCCTTTCGGTCTTGGTCCCAGAATGTGTATAGGTAACAGATTTGCATTATTGGAGACAAAGGTCGCACTCTTTCATTTACTGGCCCGTTGCAATTTAAAAACCTGCGAGAAGACGATAATACCACTCAAGATTGCTAAGGACGGGTTCAGTATGACGGCTGAAGGTGGTTTCTGGCTGAAGGTGTTACCAAGAAAAGATGCTCATCACACTCTTGCAATTAATCCTGTCAATAGAACACGTTAAATGTAAGAAAATTTTAATAATTTTTTATGACTTTAAGAAAATTTGGAAATAAATATTTGGAAATAGACATTTTAAAGAAAAGTATTTAAAGAGAAATATAATTCTTTTTTTTTAATTAATAAAAGATAATATAAAGTAGTTTTAAGATGACATTTTTCCTCTTAAGTAAAATAATTTTTGTTTCTTGAAATTATTTATATTCTTCAAAATATATGTTTGAAAAATTTTATAATTGAAGAATTTAATATTTTAACATAAATATAATAAAATAAAACAACATTTACAAAAATGGAAGATTATCCAAAGTATAGCTACGTTATAATGTTATTTTTTCAGATAAAATGCAAGCAAAAATGGAAACCAAAATAAACATGGAACAAGAACTTCTTTCTTAATTATCTGGCAAGAAAACGCTTAATATGTTATTACAAATTTAAGAAATAATGTTATTTTTGTATTATAAATATTTTTTAAATATAAAACAGTCGTATTATTTTTTGTACGTTTATTAGAAAATTGTAAGAGAAACGGACATGAAAAAAGATTAACTAATTAAATACTTTTTTCTATTTTGTGTTATTATTATCGATTAATTTGTAATGCTTTTTTCGGATGTAGATAACTGTTATTTTTCTCTTAATAACAGCTTATTAAAAGAAATGGTATGTTAAAAAAAGCTACAGAGGTTAAGGAAACATTATTATTAATTACGGGACATTATTTTATTGTTTTGATTATTTTTTAAGCCACTTATACGTTATATAAAATACGTATCTTTTATTGCTATATATATTATTAAGTTTTGGTCTATATAACGGATATAAAAGATATAAAGAATATTATTTATATTGTAATAGCAATTGACATTATAGTTCAACGTGTAATATTGTATTGATTCAATATTATCTAATTCGTGGCTACTTTAATATTAATATTATTTTATTTATTATTTAATACATTAATTACTATTACAACGGTAAAATTTGTTAATCGTAAAATGAACCTAATGTCTTCGGATCTCCGCACACATAATAAGGCTCATTAATTATGTCACTCATAATCGGTTGGCAAGCCAAATGATTTTAGATAAAGACAAAGGCCTAAAAATGAAGACACCCTAATTTATAATTTATGATAAGAATATCCAACTTTGATAAAGATTAAAAAATAAAACGCTTTTACCATCTCCGATATCTGTAAAATTACAGAAAGACGGACCCTCAATGCAGATTGATTTAAGGCAATTTTTGATTGAACATTGTACTCGGAGAGAAACTGCATCTTACAATTATGAAAGTAAATTAGTCGTGCTAGTTTTAAATTCCAAAGTAATACAAGTACAAGGCTGCAGTTGAACAAGCGAGTATTTGTAAGCATAAAAATAATACAAATACATAAAAAAATTAACAACATATTTCATTTTATGTTGCAACATAGATAATATATTACATTATTATATGTTATACTATATTAATATATAAACAAATAATATATTATACAATTAATATATTATAAAAATGTATAAATAATAAAATTCAAAAATTAGTATGTAGAAATTCATCAAGATATCCTATGGCAATTTTGCGAATAATTTTAACGATACGAGAATAGAGTTTTAATTATAATAAAATCTTTTATTCGCTCTATTGCCTGAACTAATAATTAGTTATAATCAAAGTCGTAACAAATAGGATAATCTAATGCAAATTTGTGATTTTGTAATTTTGTACGGAATTGCTGTTAATCTGTATCAATCATGTCACATATCAACAATAATTTCAAAAGATACCATAATAAATATCTTTGAAAATGTTGAATAGATAGTAATCTATCAAATCCAATATTCACCTTAATTATAAAAATAAAGTTTATATTGTTATCATGTTGATTCAAGAACGAGATAAGTAATTAATACGATGAACATATCTAACTTTACTTACGTAAGCGATAACGAATCGCTATATATATACGTTAGATTGCGAAAGTTTGTGTAAGTGCAATAGCAGTCGATCGTCGACTTTCGACGTATAACGTGAAGTTTTGTGTGTGATATCAACTTTGTTATTAACAGCACGATAAATAAATTATTCAAGAAATTTACTAATTTTTCGGTGATACACATAATCAACATGATATATATAATCGCTTTGTCGATAATAGTAGGAGCTCTAAGCATTTATTATTTCCTCTTCAAGAATTTAAATCATTTTAAAAAACATGGCATACCATACAAGCCACCTATTCCTTTATTGGGAAATATGGGACCATGGATCTTGCGTCTTCAGTCGCTAACCGAACTCGTCAAGGACATATATTATCTACATCCCGAAGCCAAGTACATTGGTATGTTTGATATGAATCTTCCAGTTGTAATGCTTCGCGATCCCGAGCTTATTAAATCCATCACGTTAAAAAACTTCGAGATATTTCCGGATCATCGCACTTCCATAAATGAAAATCAAGATCCATTATTTGGAAAAAATCTTTTCTCCCTTCGCGGAGATAAATGGCGGCAGGTACGAACTTTATTGACCCCAGCCTTTACATCCAGCAAAATGAAAACCATGTTTAAGCTAATGACGGAGTGTGGGGTCGATTTCGGTAATTACTTGGTGCAATTACCACCGGAGCAGAGAATAATGGAGATGAAAGACGTCTTTGCGAGATATACTAACGATGTGATTGCTACTTGCGTTTTTGGCATTAGTGTTGATTCTATGAAAAACCCGGAGAATG